TATATATATATAGTATTCGACGTAACACCGTAAACTTTTCGAACCTTATTCAGAGGTTTAGCTTTTTATTTCTAATCGAAATATGCACCATTATTACTTTTAACCGCCTGCTATTTAGATGATCACTTATTTGCCCGTTGCTTTAGAAGCCTGAGGTATGAGAGTATATGAATTCTCAAAGGGCAATTACAACGTCAAGCTGAGATTTGAATAATCTTATAATTAAAAAGTTGTCGTAGTTTCGAAAGACATAATAATAATATGGAAACTAGGTTCGACGAATTCGGTGGATGACAAAAACTGTAACTGCTGCACTTTAGACTCTCTGATTGTTGCATTGCGAGGTTAAGCTTTTTTGTGCAATAGAGATAATTTATTTCAGTTCACTAATTCGTACTCTTTAAGAAAAAAGTTTTTCGTTACTTCCTTCAATCGCTAACAGTTCATTTCAGCCATAATCGACGATAAAAAGATATTATTAGACAGGCACCGTACGTTTTACGGCTGCGTATTTGTTTTAGAACGAAGTCCTGCCGATTCAGTTACAACATCCAACCACAGATGGCACATTCTGCAATTCTCCTAGAAGATGAATTTTTCATCACAAGCTATGATTCAGTGCAAGAATGGGTCACTGTTGCAACGTGAGAACAAAGAGAAGCAAGGGTCTCGTATTTGATTCGGGCTCATGCGGCAAACATATGTCCAATTTGTATATGTTATTAATCATATTAAGATGGATAGTGTTTTCATAGCGATTAAACCTAAATGTTAGCACCTATGCATTTTGAAATGGATTAGTGTCTGCCATAGTATTCAATACAGTGTTCCACGAGACTCATTTTCAAACTCAAAATTTCGCTTCGGAATTTTTTGAAAATTTTCACCGTATATAGCGAGCTGCCTTCGCCCCTCAAGTGCTAAGGTAGAACTTATACTTCCAAACCAGTCGAATCTGCCAAGTTCCCATGACTCCCTCTAACTCACTGCTAAAGGCTCGAGTGACAAATCCGAGGGGAAGGCCTCTGATTTTACAGAGTACAATAGAACCTTGAATACAAAGCATGCGGTGAATGGTTGTACCGTAATACCGCCATTTTGAAATACGAGATGTTTGTCACATTGTATACTAAACGATCCAATATTTTCTTGCACACAGAAAGTCATTGCGCATACAGGTCTAAAGGAATGACTACACAGATACTTCTAATAGACAATTACTGTGGTTTTATTGCATTTGTTTAGTTATTATAATTATGAACATTATTGTTGATCTTAGTGTTAGTTGCTAGCAAATCTTCGTCGGAGCAAATGCCTATAGAACGAGCATCTGTTACAATAATGAAAAGCGGACAGCCCATACAGATGAGAGCCGGCCTCTAGGCATTTGAATTCTGAGAATCCTGAAATTCTGTTTGGGCAACAGAAAAGACTTATGAGTGTATATATATATATATATATATATATATATATATACCGACTTCTATTCTTATTGGGTTATTTTTGTAGTGCATACAGCACTATTGTTGTTGCATGCTGTTCACTGTGACACGGTTTCTATACTGTTTTCATAGTGTTCGTAGTGATATTTATCGTAATTCTATCTAAAAAATTATACAAAAAGTAACGATTACTCGAAGATAATACCAGCAAGCTGACAACAATATCCAGTGCTTAACTATTACGTCTGTATGTGTAGCTGGTATTGCTAAGTAAAAACGGAATATACTCAACCTTTTACTGGAACACATCGTCAATATGAGCTATTGTTGTTTAGTTACATTAATTACTGTTACGTTAGCACTGGCATTACATTGTTTTCAACTGTTCCTTTTGTGGTCATTGCGCTGAATGTACAACAACATAAAATTACCACGCAGACAATAGCGATGTTCGTAGCTTTTCATTCATTGTACCGAACACTGTAGCATTGCGTCATCGTTTCGTCGACTACTTTATTTCCAGTTCATCATCTCGGACTTTAATAACTCTTTACAAGCGTCAGCTGCTTTTCTCTTGTTTGTGGCGGCGTCAGAGAGCCTCATTTCTACGGGATCGGCTTCGGAGCATCAGCCTCCCAAAAGAGCTAAGCGATAATAACTATAACTCGTATTATATCTAAGCGATAATTATTATTACTACATCCAGCGTATTATATATACGCGTGTGTTGCAGAACCCTGCTATAACTGCTGGTTCTACAGTGTCACGTCAAGAGGTATAATGCAGGATAGTGTTTGGAACAAAACATTACATCGGTGGCCAATTATCTAGACGAACCCTATGATGAACGCAGTATGAGCTACGAGAAATATAGGTATTGTATTTAGCACGGTTCCCCTAGCGATATTCACAGTATGTATAAGATATCTACGGTAGATTCTGTAGGGATCGCTTCACTCGCTCCATCTCTGTGTCCAATTCTTGTCGCATACTCTGAAGTCGATCCGTCTTTTTCTGAAGCACCTGTTAATATAGATAGAAGTTAACATAAGCTTGATTAGAAACAGCTGCATTGCAAGATCAAGGTTGATACTGTAAACTGCAGCTCAAACAACTGAGACCGCATATTTCTGGCTATTCATGTTATACATATATATTCAGCACATTTCATTTTGCAAGGCATAGCAAAGCAACATTGCTGTGTAATTGACATATACTTATACATACCTCTGCAAAGCCGGCCACCCTGTCGTTCATTTCAATGAACTGCCTGACGCGTTGATAACAACCCTCAGAGTCGCTCAAACCAAGATTTCCTTGTGCAACGGAACTAGCTCCGCTATCCTTTGTACCTCCAGTAAATCCTGACCCTGGCAGTTGGCCATTGGACACGTTTGGACGACTTGCGTTCGAGTTAATCGTTGAAGCCATTACCGAGGATGGCGGTGTCTGCTGGGGGGGAAGACCCGGTGCTGCCTGAAACGAGATACAATCAGGCTGCAGCGAAAATACGACATCTGCTGGTGAGCAAGTGAGATCCTCCTCGATCTGTTCGAAGGCCGGCGGCTGAGGCCGAGTTGGAAGGGCGGGTTTACGTCGCGTAAACAACTCCATTATGGGGACAGTACCAACACCACTGTTACCGCCCAACGAATTTGACGAAGGCCCAGTTCTTGAAATATTTTCTGGTACACCTAAAGCAATGCCTCGGAGGCTGATGTTGCTGCCTAGATCAGTGATACTAAGCGATGATGCCAAAGAGAACTCTCGGTCGATACTGGACAGGCCGCTTAGTTGGTGACCTAGGCCAAATTCAGGTCCTCCACCGCTACTGAGATGATCAGAGCCGCAATAGACGTTAACAAGGCTGGCCGCTGATGCTCGACTGATGGACCGCTGTTGTGGTTGATCACCAACCCGGAGCTGTTGATCGAACGATCCATTGTCGCCCTCCTACACGGCCTCGACCCCGCGTCCGCGATCAAGGTGCAACAAGGTTGTCGACAAGTACGACGATGATGACATCTTGTTCTACTCACAGCTAGTAACAAATAAATATATATGATGTACTTCTATATATGCAGCAGCAAAAATATACGAAAGACGTTCAACGAGGTCTCGCACAGCGCAACACAGACGGAGCTCACCATAGCAGAAAAGAATCCTATCTAACGCTGTTTAGTTTCTTTACCAAAAATACGGTCGCTTGCCTAACTCGAGATGGAAGGGGGCTACTCTGTGTGTACAGTGTTTCTTCTCGTGGGTGAGCAATGGAGTGATGCTGTTTCAGCTGGATGTGTGCGGGCGAATGTCGTTAACAATCTTCACTAATTCGATGCCACCCACTGGGAAGCGTTGCGAAATGACACCAAAATCTACGTCAGCTTTCAACAGCTAAAAAGCGGTAGGCGTTAACGATAGGCCATAGCAATAATAGTTGACAATTCGATATCTATTCATGTGCTTTACTTGCTTTGGATACCATCGGCTGTAGATGAGCAACTGGAAAAGCTTTGAGCTAACTCATAGCTAACCACAGCACTGCAGACCGAAACGCGCTGTGTACCTCCGGTTGTCCACCCACAAAAGCTGACATCTGTACGCCCCGCTGTCATATGCGTTGCCAAATATTCTGCTAGACGTATGTATTCCAAGTAACAGTGATCTTTGTTCAATGCTTACATCACTTATACTTTTTGTCGATTTGTACAGTCGAGGATTTCTTCTATAGGCTCTTCCTGTCACTCGTTGCCCAGTTTCTCGAGTAGTCCAGACGGTGTGCGTGGCTTCAAGTTCTAGTGAAATTTAAACCTCTGCTGTCCCCTCTCCCGGATCTCAAGATGTATACGGCTGATGGTGAAAAACATTTACAACAACGAACTGAAGGCAAACGTCAAAACGCAACTAACCACCAAGAAACATTTGAGAGACGAAATCTTGAATAAATTTATATGCAGAAGCCGGAGGAGAAATGGCTAGCGCATGAAAAGAGAAGCAAATTCCACAATAGCATTCCTTGGTTCTTTTCTCCACACAGCTGCGCTACCTAACGCGAATTAGGGCTCTCCTGCAATCACCCGTCAACGTCAAACTGGACAGGGTCCACCGCTACGATATACCCAGTGCGTTCAGATTCCAAAACCATATGTAGTGACAACAATACGATACAACATCAACAGGGTCCAGCTGTTTTTCGAGTTACCGCTATTGCATGCTAGAAGATGGCGGAATTTCGAAACGGAAGAAGCGGGTGTGCGAGATTGCTAGCCTATGTTCCACAAAATCTTTCGCTATCCGGGGTTCGACGTGATGCTCAAGACATTCATTTCCATAGAGTTTTTCGTTGCGCAAGTAAAGAATCAAAGATCTACGGCTTTTTGTAGTATTTGCAGTGTGCAGAATATGCCTTTAGTCAACCTTAAAATAAGAAGATACAAGTTTAGAGAATGTCTTCCTAGCTGTAATTAATTCTCTCGCAGTTCTATTTGGCTTTGCCAGATTGCAGAAAGTACCGAATTGAAGCCAAATTTTACTATAAAAATGCTATGTTTTACAAGTCTTTTTGAATGCTATGCGATGTCTGACTATAACATATTAGAAAAATAGAACTAATGTGCTACGGTAACGACGATTATGTTCCTTTCATTTGATTGTACTTATCATGTAGTATGTGTCATTGACAGGACTTGGACTACGACCGCTGGCTTCCTTCCTGACAGTGCAGAATGTATGTAATTCTTTGCGGAAGGAAGAAACTAACATACGATTACTTTATTCTGATCATACATGACTTTGGGATGTCGAGGTGTAGATCGTGCGGCAATATAATCTCCATTATATACACAATATTAACGAAATTTAATTTCGATACTGAGTGGCTGTATACATTCCACGGACAAGCCACAAGAATATCCACAACTCAACGGTGCCAATGGAAGCATTTTTTCTAAGAAATTTACCTCGTACCGGCAATTTATAAACGCAACTTTTTGTGGCTCGATTTTTAATGTGCTAAGGATAAGCCTTCGCTCTTTTAGGTTGTGACTGTGCTTAGAACCGAAGTGTTTATACATTTCGATAAATCGCTTCCGTGAACAAGCGTAAGAGAGCCACAGTAGCTCCGAGTAAGCCACAGAGTGCATTGTGCATCATGAGGTGATCATTCGGTCACCTATTACTTCTTGTGTGGAGGATTCGAAAGTATGAGCAAGTTTTATTCGATTCGTGTCGACATACAACAGTTCCAAAGGTATTCGTAATCCCATCAATTTAGAAACATGTGGTCAACCAGAAGTTTTTAAATAGATGGATCAAATTAAATTTTTTTTTAAATTTAATTTTGCAGTTCAAAGTTAATCGAGCAACAAACGAAGCACTATCACGTTATATGTATATAACGCTGAAACGAGGTCACGCTAATTTAGCAATTTACCTAGAAACAATTTGGATAGTGTTTGTAATAGGAGGTTTCACTACGTAGAAGCTCGCCAATTCTTAAACAATACAAGAAGCCTGGGGCAAATAGAACGTAAATATCTATATATAGATACTTAACTCATACTGCAAACATATTCAGTAATGCTGTTTCAGGGATCACTTTACTGTCGGTAATTATGGGTATGTCTATCTGACGGACCCTCGATCTGGGGTATCTGATAACTTCCGGCCTTAGAATGTCCAGAGTTTCTTTGCGCAAGGCTATAGTGTATTTTCTATAATATATATTACATTGTTTTCAATTAGATAGATATTCAATTTTTAATTGTTACATTTCAAGAAACGAGTGATGCTTTTACTCTGGCCTGTGTCGTTCGGTTCATTGAACTGACTTGAGCTGAAGACTTATGCATTTTGTTCCACACGTGGCTCCGTATGTTTCTTTGAGAGACATCCAGTTTTAGCCGTACGCTTTACGAGTTTTGCAAAAGTACACTTAAAGAATAGCTACGTATTTTTTTATATTATTCTGAAACATCTATACGCATGACAGGCTTTCTAAGTTGTTGCGTATTTCTATGTAAATTACTTAAAAATTATTCTCACAAATATTTAGTTTTTAAAATTATTGAATTTCGTTTTGCAACTTAATGAAGTACTCGCTTTTGCTGCGTGCGACGACACCTGAGGTTATCACGCGATTGCCCTCGCTTGCCTACCAACAGGTTATAAGTACAGATTTTAGATAAAGCACAGACCCGTTATAGAAACAATTAGGAATGTAGTAATTCTTTCGAAATAATAACGCGCCGCTACTTTCGTCTACGAATTTCGCTCTGCAGATATGCTTAAAAATTTTGATGCAAAAGGCTTAAATTTATTCAAGAGGATTTCTTCAATATGCGAAGTACTTTTTTAACTTTGACGTAATCACGTAAGAGTCTGACTAATAGCATTATTATTGGCCTTCAGGTCGAAAAAATTGTCACATTTATTTCTATTTCTATTATATGCCGCTCATTACAAAACATGCATTCGTAGTCGAGTATAACGTATGCAGTATTTTTTGCTTGGTTTCTCTTTGTTGTCTTTATGTAAACAAGATCAAGGCAATTGATATATAATAAAATAAGTCCGTGTTATATTTGTTCATAGTAATTGTCACAAAATAATGATATCAATAACGCGTCCTCAGTCATAGATGTTATCGCCAATAATAATCAAGCCGATCGACTGGTACAATGGTGCTGATAAAGTACACATTACACTCCTCTATATATTTTCAATCAAGTATCAATCTTACACGGACTATAATTGTTCTTCATAATAAACTTCAACTGCTGCTGATTTTGGCAACAACGGCGGAAAGCATCGGATTGATGCGCGCACGTTCTACCAATCTAATTCATGCTTACAAGTATGTGTAGAAGTGATGTTTCTTTAGAATTTTAGTGGTTTGTGATGATGTTGGTTAAAAGCACAAAATAGACGGCATTTATTTATGCCCGACCCCTAATTGAGAACGGGGTTAAAGAGCTGTTGGGTCCCGGGAGTAAATATTCTTAGAAATATCTTTATCTTTGGAATAACTTACGAAAAAGCTGCTTAGCTGGCATGGCGATTTTTTGCTCAAATTTACTCTGAGTTCTAAAACTTATTAGATATCAAATATTTTGGAGCACAGAACTTTGGAGATGACTTCCTGATAAGACTGTGGCCTTCAACATCTGCGATGCTCCTCTGATCTCAGACTGTGATGTTCAGTTCTCCTAAGGTCACTCTGTACGAGACCGGATACGAATGATAGCAAAATTAAGTGATGCAGGAAACAAGAATTACGCTTTTTCATAGTTTAAAAAAGCCATAGTTATCATTAAAAGTTAAACTCAGATTGCTCATTTTGGATTGGTCCTACTCTTCTGGTACAAGATCAAAATATATCTACGAGCTGGTTAATATATGACTCCGAGTTAGTCAAGAGCTTCATACTGAGCAAGAAAAGATAACACATGTTATTATTATTATTATTATTATTATTATTGTCGTTCGAGTGATTGCTTTTACTCTCTAAGGAGTAAATTATTTTTCATATTATTTGTAGCGTAGTCACATATTTAAATTAGCGTACATGAGTAACCCCGCCAGCCAGTTGTACTCAAAATGCCGTCTAGCTATAGGCGATTCCCTATCTACAGTAACTAGAACAATACGAAAACAAATATGTGTACATTTACGTTTTTCCACATAACTTACCTAATGCAGTCGATGGGAACATCCTATCTATGATTGACAGAACTCTAATACTTTATTGTTGTGTCAGTCGAACAGGAAATACTTGCTCTTTTAATATCTTTGATAAACGTGTCTTCTTGGCTTTTTGCCGCTTGAAAGTCGAGCGCCGGCCCGTGAATCGACCGTTTTGCCAGCCGATGAGCGCTCACACTTGGTTGAAACGGAGATCAATATCATTGACAGTTGAAGTGCGACTAAAAACGGTAAGATTTAGAATTACCGACGCCAACTGCCGGCTGAGGCGCCTCGGAATATGATCAGAGCTATTGTTAGTACAAAATATCCATACAAAAATGTCACTTCGTCTTTTTACGATTATCGGCCCGCCTTCGCGTGGTGTAGAAAATGGTTTCCGCTCTGGCTCTGAATACTTTGGTCCTTGGCTGTCCGGAATACATAATTATGCTATGTCTACAGAGTGTTTCCTTAAAGCCATGACATAGCATGCAATGCCATAGGCAATTATGGGTGCTTATCAAATGCATCATTACTCCTAATTACTGTAATTAATGGGTAATGTCTCGGTAGGAGTTCTTCCATACTTCCGCAAACGTAACCGATGAATGAAATCTAAAACGAAGCAAAAACACGTATACAGAGGGCAATGACGTGATATTGATGAAGTAGTTGTAGATTTGTACTTACAACACTTATTCCACTTTTCATAGACAGCTATACGGCCGTTATGCCGAGCAGTAGCTGCTATCAGTGTTTTGTGTGACATGTTACAATCTATCTAGTACTAAATAATCAAGCATGCTAATTATAAGTTATGACGATTGATATTATACGTGTAATCATTACAATATGGGTATGTGTGGAAAAGGCGACACATGATTTTGCAAAATGTTCTTAACACACACGCATTTTCTTCCAGATAAACTCTTTTTTAATATACAATGAACAGAATAGACTTTAGATCCCGTATGACTTTATTGAAAGGTACATTGAAACTATATATGTTGTAATGGCCAAGAAAATAGATCGTAAATATATAGTAGAAGGCTGCTAGCTCAGATATAATCTAACCTTACCGGTAGAAAATGCTGAGTGGAAGCGATGAGCGTATAATAAAGGTCCACGCAAAGAATCCATAGAAGCCGAGTTGTACCGGACTCGCCTCAACCTTCTGCATCTCGAAGGTATAGATGATCCAGAGGGTGAGGTTAGAAATTAACAGAAACGTGACTATTTGCCGACCTGGCTTTGTTCTGTCGTGCTCGGGCAGGTAGGTTGAACGACAGGTCACGTCTGCTATGAATAGGGATTGTAAGGTTATCTAAAAGAGTATGAAAAAACCGTTGTTAATTCTGAACGATGTTTAGTAATCAGCGACACTTGATTCTCACACTGAATTAACAGTCCCAACTAGGTCCAGTAGACCGGGGCTGATTCAAGGGCATTTTCAAGACAATTATCAGTGACAGACTTATGGTCTTCTAAAGCTGAAAACATAGGCGGCCTTTAACTTATAAACCGTCAAAAATCCAACCTATGTCATTAGATATATACCAACATAGGAATACTGAAATATTCGACAGCACAAAACGTAACAGTCAGCACGCACATAACGTACCTGGACAATCGTCAAAATGGACGTAAGGAGCAAGAGAGAGTTCGGCACATGTTCTTTTGGGAGAAGGGCTCCTGGAATAATGAGCATTAATGAATGTACGCATTAGTATTTTTTGACTGTTAATAATTATGTCCCCGAATTCGTCTATCGCTCAAATGGCCTCATTTCAATAGAAGCCGAGTTAAACTGACGCTTATTTATTCAAGTATATGCCCAACTTTAAAGGAATATTAAATCTGTGGGTGCGTACCGGCGACGATACCGAACACAGAGTAAACATAAAGACCGAATGATGAAACGCTCAAAAGGATTGACCTTAGGTGATCATTGCGGTCCGGATGAAATCGTAGGTGTCTGAAATTGGAAGCGCACAAGACTACATATCGTATGCCTGGATTGATGTTATTGTTGTTGCGACAACATCAAATTTTTAGGATTTTCCATACATTTGCCAATGTACCTCACTGACAACGATTACAACTGTCTAGCCTAAGTGTCTCTATGATAATTCGAGAAGGATTCGTATGTCTAATGTCCAGTAGCATCAAATAAGGACCAGAACAGTTGAAGTTAGACTATTTACGCAGCGAATATATGGCTTATTCAAACATTAACACAAAGATTCGTTATTAAAGATCAATTAGTATTTTAATAAGAATTGGTTTGTGGTGCTATACAATTGGCATAGCACTCTTTATGTTTCCTAAACTTAGTGGACAGTGGTAACTGGGTAAGAAACAGGACGTAGACGCATATCGCTGCCTGCTGCCATGACACAGCTGCCTGTAGCAATGCCTAACTACGGCTGTAACAGACGTAAGACATTCTCCGTTGTATTGGATCACACTCGAATCATTTATCCTTTATTACCTAACCCTGATGAATCCGATCAGAATCGCCAGAGTCGTGAGGGTCTTAATTCCACAGTGTGATACATCCGACATGTAGATGGCTATCAACTCGTATCGCTTATGTTGGACGAGAACGAAAAACACGATCAAACATATAGTTGAACAGACCAACATCAACAAGCCGAGAAATAGGCCTTTCGACGAACCGGCACAGTTCACCGTCTGGTGGACAGGAATACCCCCAACTGATGAAAGAAGCGTCGTGCCGCCCGTATTTCCGGAGAAGGTCTGGAATAAGGATGACGACGTACGCGATATCTGTTCATCCACACTCGGATGATCTGTGGCAGGCGGCCGTTCCACCTATCGTGAGCAGAAGTCAGCAACGAACGTCCGAACAAGCATAAATAATACTGCAGACGAATTCAGTGCCGATATATTACTTTTAAATATATAAATCAAACTATAGAAAATGGAATATTAGTTATAGTTTATTGTTTTCGCTTTCAACAAACGCAAACAAAAATGAATTATACAAAAATGAAAATCGAATTGAAATTGATATGTTCTATGGAGTGACACGAATGGTGTTGTTTTTGCGTTAACATTCACTCAGCCGAGGCTCTTTCCTGAATAATGCAAAACGTATTGTAATTAATTTCTAGATAATAATTTCGAATAATTTAATGCCTCGTGTAGAATTATTGAATTTGAATTTTTTAGATGAAGTGGTACCTGGCAAACGCTCGGAGTTTCCTAGAAGAATTATTCATGCCATGCCGGCAAGTAACCCATTTTATTCATTATTAAGTACTTTTTGGTTAATAATTAATAAGGAGTATTATTCTATTGCTGCTGATTTGTTCAGCGATCATTACCAGGACTCTATTATATGCGAGCATATTTGTTTGTCACGTACATTCAAGCTGTCCTAGAAAATACCTTCATGGTTTTTTCTTCTTTCTGGAAGAAACGAGCTATTCAAGTAACATACAAACCTTTTCTATGTATCACAAAAGAGAGAGTTTTAGAACTATTTCAAAAAAATACAAATTAATGCAAGTAACACCGGAGTGCCGGGTAAACTGGACAGGAATGAATTAGAACATTCTTCGAGTAAGGAGCACTAGCACCAAAATTTTGGTTTCTTTTGGGCTTCTTAGATTATTCACAAGCTTCTCCATTGTAATGCCAACACTTCAGTTTTACGAATGCTCGTTCTAATTACCATTGTCATGAAAATAACATTAAGATGTTATTATTATGAATATACTATTATACACGGATTATTTGCAAGCAACGAGTATTTATGCGCGTTGTAGGCGATTGTACCGCTTGAACACTGAGCTTAACATGGGAATGTAGTTAGTGTTTAGCCAAACTGAATGAAAAACAAATTGATAGATATGTCCATGCGTGTTTAACCCTTGACTTACGGGTTTATCCTTTGCTCTTCTCTGAAAAAAGCTACAGTAAAGACGAGTGGCATTTATTTACGTCTTTTGATATCTATGAGGTCATACGTTAAACTGTTAAAACTGTTGAGACAACGGTTCCATATTAAGCGCTTCATACATTGACGCTTTATTTTTATTTATTTTTTTTTACAACAACTTAGGAATCTAATCTTATTGACAGACGTACATCGTCTATTTGATCTATAATAATTATAATTATAGTTTACCAAAACTGATAGCTCTTGGGTAATATCCGAAAGCACGAATGATTAATTCATGGTTTTAAATTTAAATGCCGAGTAGGATTTGACTATTGTCTTTGTAATTAGTTAATAATATTTCCTTAATAATAAATCATATTTCTAGGCTAGAAAAAGAACAGCTGTTTGTATTGCTTTTTATTTGGTTAAAGATTACACTAAATACAAAAGGGTCAGATATTTTATTATTAAAAAATGGACTTGATGTCTAACGCAGGCTGCCGAAATTACACAATTATTGAATAAAGAATTGATTATTTCAAAACCCGCTCCTGTACTGTACGCAAACGGTATACAGATCGATCCAAAAATTGCATTTACTTAAAATACAGTTGCTTGAAGAGAAACAAACTAAGCCTTCAGTATGAAAGAACAGTTTATTATTCCTAAGGATAATTTTTTACGTCTAACATAGCGCCACGAATAGAATAAAAAAATAACATGTACTTAAAGGTTTCGAAATGCAAATAATTATATCGTGCAGTTTCACCACTCACCTGAAACACTGGGTTTTTTCCAATATTTTTCCACATGACGTACAGGACAGCAGCAGAAATTAGGGAGTATTCAATGATGAACGGGTAAAGAAAAGGTGAAGCATCCACAACAATCGTGCCCATAATATCCACCCGTTCGCATGATTCACTTCTGTTAGCTATAATTATACAATAAGACGACATTCGCAGGACCAGCGATTATGGCAACATGGTGTGAACGATAGGTCATTTTCGAAAAGCAGCGAAGCGGGCAAAATCGAAAGAGGCATTTCTTGATCAAAGCAGTGCTCCATATACTGCAAAAATTCTGCTGACTCTAATAACCGAAGGCGATCAATATTTTAAATAATGATACATATCAACAAATTATTACAGGTCGCCATATAATGTCGAAACGGGCTTTTATATATAGTCGCTCCTCACTTGTATATGTAATGGGACTCATGTGTAAAGCACCACCAGAGCCTACACTAAAACACAACTGAAACTTCTTTTCTGACTGTGGCGTATCGTAGCTTAAGTATCTTCACTTACGATAGAAAACTATTCATTTGACTTCGATGTAAAACTGTTTATATTTATGGCAATCAAATGCTGACTGATATAACGCATTTTCATGGTTTAAGTTGCCATGTTTGCCTGTTCCACACCCAGCCACACCGTGTGCGGCAAAGAAGTTAATAACAGATGACCAGTGGTTCTACGATCGCCTTTAGTATTACCGTTTGAATAAAAGGTGCGCCTGCATAATTTACATAAAACAAAAATCAATATTAATTTTTTTATTCAAAGTATAGCGAAAATAAATAAGAGTATTTAAAACGCGTCCAGTGGGGGGTAGGCATTGTATATAACCCACACTCGATTTCAGAGGATATAGAAATGAGTAGTCTTGAGAAAAACATAGTTTTAGATGCGTATAAAGAAAATCTTTTCATTAGATAACCTGTATAATGATATCTTTTGTTCTATCATAGGTTACCTCTAGCGCGAAACGTGAGTACAGCATCTTCGATGGCGACGGACCCGTTCCTCGTAGTATCAACTTCATGCGATAGTATTTCCTGCAAGGTTTCTTTGCCTAGGGTACGGATCCAAACGCAGATATTCGTAGCCACAATGTGCATTAACCCAAAGCGGGCTACAACCTTGAACTTTTGTATATTTAACTGAAACGACAAAGGCCACATACATTACGGTAGCCACATTGCCTGTTCTAATTATAGATAACCATAAGGGAAAACAATCTTATCTCATGCGGTATAATATATGCTTATTGAGGCAAAAGGTATAAAGCTCGCTGCGAACACCATAAATTGTTAAAGATTGGCATAGAAACCAACAATTTTGCCAGTTGTAGCTTGCCCAGTATTACTTCCATGAGCGAAGTTATATAAACATCACTGAGAACAGAGAACCATTAATTTGATAAGTGCCTGCCACGTGCAAGCTGCAGAGTTCCTACGAAAGATAAGTTGTACTAAAACCAATATGGACAGAAACTTGTGTCTGAAATGGCGACTTATTCTGCGTTATGATTTTCATAATTCAATTGGATGGCTTTAAAGAGATACAATGGCCAATATGTTCATACAGACTCAAGTACAAGCAAGACATTTCTGTTTCTACCTGCTCACTGCTTACTATTGTATGCTCCACACGATCCACGCAAGATCATCATGACTGTAAAACAGGTATTTAATTATTCGATATGTTGCCTGGAAAGACTCATAGTAGTCGTGGATGAGTGGGTGACTTTTAATATTATAGAAAAAATGTTAATAATTAGGTTGTTAGTTATAATCATAACTGTCTCAACCAAGCGCACGTTCTTTTGTAGAAGATTAAAAAGCTTTACGATGGATATATAGCTTACTGGTTTTATGAATTTCTGTTTGCTTCGTGCGGTTTGTAAGGCCTTACTTAAATATTATGCAAAATAATCAAACTTGATTTTAAGAACTTAAGAGATTGAGAAAGATAATGTCATTAGGCGTAGATTGGTTCTGCAAAACGCATTTTTCTCATTTCACTTTAACGACTACTTGAAGTAGAATGCTACATGCTGCTAACTTGTTCGTCATAGTAGTAAACGAACATGATGTTTACGTTGATAACTTTTTCATTTTTTCAAGTTTATGTATCCGTTAAATGACTGACTCTCCAACAAGGAGCGAAGTGTGTCCACGCCAGGTTTGAAATTATTAACATGATTCCTTTTGGAACGAGTTGATAAAGCCGCATTTCTTTGAGTATGTTCCATGTTGACCAGATGAAGAGGCGATTATCGCTCATTCGAATTTCAGCTCATTGTGTAGTAAATGGTTGCCGTGGTACATGCTACCATGTCGTGTTACAAATATGTTGGAAAGAACCCAGATAGGTCCAGCAAAACCCAGAGATCGGATAGCCAACAAGTGAGCAAAAGACACATGGAATGTAGCACGTTACATTGAAGCAGTGTGAGCGCTTCCTTTGCGAATTTCGGCAGACGACTGAAATGGGCCCAGTTATGCCGTGGGCCTTCTCCCGGGTAAACTCGGAATAATAGATCACGGTTCAGATTCATGGTAAATAAAAAAAAAGTCAAATTTAATTAGAACAGAATGTAGGTAGTATTGCTACCGTCAAAGAGGCAACGGTTCATTCATATTTACTGTGTTTTATTTATTTTTATAAATTTGGGATATTTCTTCAATAAATTAGTGGCTTAATCCATAGTAGTAGTAGTTAAAATTTATCAAGTACAGTTGCAAGTTAAATGCCATACATTACACGCATCCGCTTCTATCAGGTGCGCATACAACAATCGTCTATGTTCTTCTGGTCTATAATAAGACATACTGTATTTTTCGTCCTAACGTAGGTATATCGCTGTGGAGTTTCAGCTATACATTAGATCCAAAGTATTCTTATGCAGCCTTGAAAAGTTTTAAGCAAAAACTTAGAAACTATTCGACTTTAAATTGTTGCAAGAGGAAGAGCGAATCGTTATTGAAGTTGATCTCAGCAAAAATACTTGACTGACGTAAGCGCAAATTTCAACATTACTGGATTCGTTTACAAATTGCGTTAGCGACTCACGTATACAACAGCAGAGACGCATGTTTCCTGGCATTGCCAACCAGAAACGTACACATCAGCTAGCATTTACAAAAGGAAATAATTGTGAAACAAGAGATCTATTTATCTAATTTCATTTGTCAGTTCTATTTCTCATCTACATAATAAATATCGGCCAGCATTATTCGAAACTCTACTCAAAGGCGCCTTTTGTTCGCTACGACTCTTTTGTCCCCAATTATGCGGACGTTCGAATCAAAGTAAACCTCGTATGCAAGCAGATCTGTTGCCTTTACTTTCCTAAATATAAAATCCGTACTTTGTCTTGATTCGTTGGTATTAGGCATTGTTACTATTGATGGAAGAGTCGTATTTAATACAATACCACGATGTCATGACAAAGACTTTTCCTCAAACTGGGGCACTGTTGTGCCTACGTAACTGAATGTCATAGTTGAGGAAAAATTCATTTGGAAACAGGTTTCTGATTTGAAAGGTCGAAAATGTTTTGTGTGTCTGAAAATGTATATAACCATAGTTAACCTTTAACTAAATGCTCTACGGCAACAGTTTTCGCTGTCTAAATGGCTGAATTTTCATATATTCAAACCCATACGAGCTTATTTACAATACTAAAGTTCTATATACTTCAGTCTTCAAACTGTTTTCGTGGTAATGCAGTGGTGACATACACCGCTAAACTTGGAAAGACGCGGTGATCTAGCGTGGAATTTTAGCGTCGATAGGGTTCGCCTCCTTTTGAGAGCAGCTAGCCGTCTGAAGCAATGCCTAATCGCATTAAACTTAGAACATTTACTTATTACGACCCTTTTCGACGATTGGACCAGTGTAATTGCGAAGAATGGTAGTCCGGTATACCGAAACAGAATCATATTCTTTCGTTACAACGTCTGTGTACTGAAGTGGCGTGAAGCGTTACATAGGTAGGCACGTTTCTGCAGGAATTCCTTTCGAGCAGCAACAAAGTACCTTCCATATCCTGACAGCTGTGAGAAATAGCAAAACCTATGCATTTTTTTGAGAAATACGTGAGGCAAATATACACGTTGCACTTTGAAAGGGGCTCTTTTAGTCCAGCTGGCCGTTAATTAAATCGAGCCAAAGTACAAATGCGTATGTTTATCTCTAAATATGGTGCCGAAGGGGCAATTCTTCTGTGACGAACCTTTTACACTCTTTCGAGTTTAAACAGAGGAATATAATATGTGTTGGTTTTAAGGGTTGCAGACTAGCTTTTCCGGCTGATTATATAAGTGTATTATACACTAATTGTATTTAATCATATAAAGGCATAAAACCTGTAGTAAATACGGCAGACACTCTCCCCTCACTGCACACGACCTGCACGGACGAAATCGTAGAGAAAGCAAAACCAATGAAGCTGCAAGATCGCCAGTATATATATATATATATATATATATATATATATATATAGATTTTGTGCCCGGTATGAGTTGTTTCGCAGGCCGTATTTAAATAAAAGTAGATGATTGATTAAAATATCGTTGTTAATAGTTTACTGAGGTGTCGCCCGTTCTATTCTCAAGAAACAGAAATGTTTGATTATTTGGGAACAATAAGTATTATCGTAACCCTTAGGTGTAGCTTACAAATCACCTAAAAGATATCTGAAGTTTTACATCCGACATTTTCATTGGACGCTGCTGCATCAAGCGGCATTTACGAATCATTTGCACAGAAGACGTATGCATATAATTATCGTATTGAATAAAGAATAATGATCACATGGTTATGAATATTTTTTACCATAATGAATTGATTTTGAAATGAGGTCGAAAACTTACTCTGGCATTCATAAATATGAAGTACATCTGTGCAAACGTGAACGCCATTTGAAGAAGCGGATTGACGGCAAGCAATGGCGAATAACAGCGGCTACTGGTAGGTATCTCAAAATACGATCCAAATTCGAGTCCATTGTAGACCATCGTGCCCAATCCGAAGGCGATGGCACCAATTCGTAAAAACAAACTTCCGTGTGATCGGTCATTCTCACTCGTGCGTTGTTTCACGACGCGTGTTACGGAATTGTTGTCGGTACTTTCTGAAAGATAGAGAAACATAAACGTGTGTTGTGTGAATTAACGACTGATGATTCATTATTATATGATCCCATGAAAAGCTTTTTCGCGCGTACAAAAGCTCAATTTTAATGAACTCGTCTTTCTCGAATCTGATCCAGAAATTTGGAAAGCGGCTTTCGGTATCTCGAAAAGCAACCCTTCGTTTAGACATCTGCTACTAAAATAAAAAGATAATTCTTTGTGAATAATGAAATTTGATTATGTTTTACGTTTTATTTAATCGTTTTCATAGACCTAAATCGTACCGCACTTTCTCCCGATCATAGATAAGGCAACGGTAGTTATATAGACGTTTATACTTACTGTAGCACACAATGTATAGGACAATGAACCGAATCTTTTGTGTCTATACCTGTCGATTGGTATCTATCAATAGTTAATTAGCTAAATGCAGCTTCCTAAACCTGCCACTAATAAAACGATTGTACAATCACACAAATTAGAAATCATGCAATTTTTTTTTCCTCAATAATAAAATATCATTCAATAAACATGATATTTTGATGATTAGAGTAAACATTTTTAATTAGACCGACCGTCCCCTTGTAAGCAATTATTTAGTAAACTTGAAAAAACAGTGTGACTGCGTACCTATAGATTTATCCGCACGATATGTCTTTAACTAAATAAACCTGAGGTTGTCTATCGATTGATTAATATGTGTTCGCATTTATTTATTTAGATTGTATAGCCCATAGAAACCGTCAGCTGTATTGAAATGTAATTGGCGACCAGGTTTTGTTTCGACGCACATTCTCCTACGTCTGCGTTGACCCTTTCAGGTATCTGAAGATATGAACAATCTACAGTAATGTAGGACTTAGCTATCGTTTTTATCATGCTTATTTCTCTTTAAAAATGTTCTCGGGCTTAAACTTTACAATTATTACTTGTGAATTCTATATCTGAATAATTCACGGTCAAGTTCATAGGAAAACGGTCAATCTGAGAAACGGATAATTTTACTTCAGTATCAATCGGCTGGTTGTCTGCACCCGTATTAAAAAACTTGTTTCCTTTAAGAATCTACCTCAACCTAATTGAGTTTTTTATATATATTGGCGTCTAACTCACGGTTGAATCCATTGAGGGCTGTATGCTCTTGATATTTTTCGGCAGTATCCCCCGTAGAGGTGACGACTCCGCTATTGTCGGCCGCGGAGGAACTCTTTGGGGTGGGACCTATCTTACGCATATCTAACAGGCCACCGGTTCGTTTTAATGGAGGTGGCGGAGGACGTCGAACTCCACCGGCAGGACCGTTTGATGGTATATTGCCATGCCGCAGGAGGTAAAGATAGACGTAAACGAGAAACAAAAGGCTGGTCGTATATAGGTACAAAAAGAAACCCTGGAAAATAGAATGCGAAAGCGGTAGAATATAGAGGTGAAGAACATAAGCGTAGGTTCGTATAAGAAAGAAAAGGCAGTGATTAAATGTGGCTATCTGTGGTGTCTCTAAACTCAATCAAATACGCGTTTTCACGTCCACTATTGCTAACCCCTATTAATGTTCGGGCTCAAAAGCTGAGGGCGGGTTATGCGAAGATTGAAATATCCAGAGAAAATCAACAACAGGGTGCTAAGACGGCACAGGATTCAGCTCAACAGGCAAGGTAAACAAAACCCAACAGAAGAATGGACCGAGACTCGAGTAGTGAATTCACAAATCCACCAGCCGACCCTGGCAGCCTTAGCTTAAAGTAAGATTAGAATGACTTCCGTACTAAGACCCTAGTAAATGCAGTTCAGTACTTAATGGGTGAGAGTCCCACCAAATTAGAGCTTACCACTGCAGTCTGATCTATATGATGCAATACTAGTTATAGATTTTAAATTAGTGATGAAAAATTCGAGGCAATAAGAAAAAGGTCTTGTGACAAGAACGATTTTTAGAGAAAAAACTGACGTTTGCTTTGGCTAACATTTAAAAAAAGGTTTATACTAAGTATATGTAATGGAATTAATTAGTCTTCTGAACGTTAGAATTGCGGATGGACCTAAATTGTATTGCCAAACTATGTTTGGTAAATCCCGCCTTTGTAGTTCCTACAGTAGCAGCAGTCTTGAAACATAACAGGAACCCTTTTACACAAAAAAACCGATCTGAAATATTTTTGTCTAATTATTGAAGGAATCAAATGAAATAGAGAAGATACAAATGCTTGAAAATCGACAGAGGTGCACTTTTGTCGTTCTGAAAAAGGAAGCTTTATACTTGTGTATATATGCTCTCTCTTTTTACTGCTCATGTTGTGAGTTGCCCAGAGGTGACTTGTCAGATTGTTGGGAACATCAAAAGAATTCAGACAAAATATTTAAAAAGTATATAGATTTATCTAACTCAAAGTATACAAAAAATTGACTTACGCTTTTTTACACGGGAAATCTTTATATGGTGATTCCTCGTAAAGTTGAGGGCTAGCTTTTAAAGTCGGCTCTCTGTTCATTATTTTATATCATCAATACGATTTAGTATTAACGATGGGTGCTCGGCCATACTGTGCTAGCAGTTTACATGCGCACCCTTTGGAAGTGCTAGAGGGCAAAAAATAGCTCAAAAGCCAATTTGAAAATCTAAAATAGTAAAATAAAAATAAAGAAATAAAATTTAAACAAATATTGAAAAAGATTTGTACGATAAGCATATTGAGCTTAATTAAATTGAACTCTAGCTCAATATGTTTGCGATACAACCGGAAACATTTATTCGTATACCATACATGCAAAGCTGAAGTTAATTGGCAAAAGATTTTTGACCTGGAGCTAAAGAGAGGAAATAAGTAGATCTTTTTTAATAATCAGCAAATACTAACGCAAGATAAACGTAGATAATCACACGATTTTTTTTGGAAACACCACTTTACAGCTTTAAAGCTACAATTTGAATGTACTTAATGCTTGACATATACCTGGCCCTGTATGTTGCTTTTTTTCGTCTTTCTCATAGTTAATTAATCATGTACATACGCGTAGATAGTGATCAAACAGTGCAACATATTTCGTTCATAATTAATCATATAAAGCAGTGACGTATTATGCATAGGTACGATCAATCTTTATAATAGAGATGATTCTCGTCTAGTAATTAATATTTTTCCAAAAAAACAGATTACATACTATAAGCACAACGACCCTCAAAACAACATAGTTTTATATAAAAGAAGTAATAGTGGATAACCATTTCTGCTCATCTTGTCAATAACCGTATTAATATGTAAAATCACCCCCCCCTCACCTCTTTCGCTCCCTCTCCCCCTCTCTCTCTGTATATATTTGTGTGTACAAATAAAGATGACATTTCATTTGGACAAATTGTAATGATTATTTTCATCTTATTTGTGCCTGGTTGATATTTAATACCACATCATTTAAACCGTACTAATGATAGATGAATGTATGAGCCATGCAAATAAGTCGCCAAATAAAGGAATAAAGCTCACCTCAGAAAAGAAGAGAAGTGGCTGTCTGCCCGTGATAACTTCCGATGTTAAGAGAACGACGCACACTACGACCAGCAACTGACAGTAGATCGACGATAGCATTATGAACTGCTGAGTCCTGAAACGCGCGACGCGTAACACCAGTACATTATAATACAGAATAAAGCAGAGCACTTGTCAAGCCTTTCGAAATGCCTTAAAAACCGTGTATTTTCAACAACGGTAAAGCACTTAAATATTCACAGCAGAGAATGAGCATTGTGTATATATATTCTTATTTTAAACGAGACTCATAAAAAAAAAGCAATGAAATGAAAAAGTAAATTTAGTGCAGATGAAGACAGGCTGATCATTGAAAGCACGCGAGGTGAACACGGTTTACATCGAAGTAGGGGCATCTGTTGACGAGCCTTGAATAGCGATCGCAATATTGGCTTTAAGCGTCAATGCACCCTGTGTGGCATTGTGGAACGCAGCGTTTTCTTGCAAAAATTTCTCTCATCTCCGCGATGCTCTACTCTGTGCCTGAGTGAAGCCATTCTAACAATATTAGCACATCAAATGGTGCCAAATCTCAGCTTTTTAAATTACACCAGCGCCGGCCCAGATTACCTGAGGTATATGACTCTAAACCATCTAGCTAGAGGAACGGTCAATACCCTTTCAATAACCCAATATGTTCGAGAAAACCGTCGGCACTCTTTGCTATTCTGTCTAAAAAATACAGTTTACTTGATAATATATTAAGCGGCAATTGTTCACGGCGAACGTATTCGTAAAAGCGTTCTAGAAATACTCCCCTAAAAATCATGCTCAAGCAACGATAGAAAAGGGTAGGCCCTTCCTGAAAGCGACGACAAACTTGAAAGGATTTGTCTATCCGTAGCTGCGTAATAGAAGTTCAATCAACTGTCCAGCAGGTAAATTCAACTAAACCGATAATTTATGATTGCTTAATTAGGTAATCAAGAACTAAACAATTCATACATGTCACAAAGAGAGTTTGTAGAAATAATTATAGTAAGATGCCTTAAACAGCTGCCCTAAGTAGAAGCCTACAACGACACTAAATCGGAATACCACACTTAAAATTCTGATGACAGATCTTTTTTTATAACGACGAATTGAAATTATAGAAAAAAAGTATGATAACTTATAGCTCAGTAACTTAATCTAATATGTACATTTCAAACCTATAGGACACCGAAGTTTGGACTGTGCAGCTGTCCAAAAATACTTACCAATTTTGCCCCCTTAATTTAAACACAAATTAATGTTTTAGCCTACGACGACGACGAAAAAATAACAGCGACAATTCGCTAGCATCAGCCCTTGTACCTGCTCAAATTTTAAGGACTTTTTTCAGTTGTTACGCCTCCTCTTGGGGCTTTTTCCTTCAATAAGGATTTTGCGCTTGCCTTTTTATAGAGAAGACTCCAGGAAGTGCAAAAGCCATAGGGAAAAGGATCTGCTGAATAGCTAGATAATTACAAAAAGGACATCGCTACACAATCGAGTATGTTTAAAGAACAGGGATTAGACTTCAGGAGAATGCTAATATAGGAGAATGGATTAGGACGCGATTCACAAGCACACGAGCCGTCCCTGCAAGCTTTGGTTGGATTGGAATGGGTGTCCTACCAAAAACCAAGTATACTCGCTTGAGAGCTCAATAAGTGTAAAATCTGTTCATTCGCCCTTAACCTTCTAACAGAATAAGAAGAAAGTTTATTCGTGGAATCCTATTCATGATCTACTTTTTTAACGTGTCTAAGATTTCAAACGTTGTCCGTCTAATTCACCAAGGAAAAAGCCTGTGGTCAATTAAAAAAACTTACTTGTTTGCACACAAAGCTACAAACAAACTAGGGGTTTGCCCATAACATATGAAAGCTCCCGAGGGGTTTTTCTAATTGATGCGCGACTAGAGAGGATGAACTTCTTGATCCTAAGTTAAATTATATTTATTAAAAGAAAGAATAACTAGTATTCGATGAATATTGGCTTCATCTGGGTTGTCGCCATTATGAACAACCACTGAATTCAGTCAGTAAAACAGAGTGATACATGAACGTGTAATATTTATTATAATTTTAGCACGGAAACCGACAGAACGTTCATAAGTCTATTTACAGAGTCGACCAAATCCATTCAGTATACAGGCATGACAGTCAATCATTTTAATAAATAACGAACAACGTGTACAAGGTAGATAGAAGCAAGTTAGGACCTGCGTTGTTAGAGATGTCTACAACATAACGTACACACATACATTGGTTCGCCAGTAAAAATCGGCCATGCGGCTAAGCAGATCACACAGAGTAATTCTGTATGTATTTTGACCTATGTTAGAGTGTGTGTGTGGACAGTCTTACGAGTTCTGACCCTCTTTAGACCTCTCTACAAAGGCCGTAAAAAGTGCGTCCTAGGCTCTGTGGCCTCACGACCTCCACACGTGTTCATACGGTTCTTTATCGTTATCTTTGATTGCAGTAATGTTTTCTTTTGAGAAAAATTTTCGTAAAAACGTTATGTTCTGACGTTCAGATACGAACTCGCAACCCTTGGTTTCTAACACCAGCCCAGATGCCGCAGGAGTAACCTTATTAGTTTATGCAACGCTGTGCTCTGGCGGCATTAGCAAACGGATATAGAGCCACTCGGTCCTGGACTTAACGAAATCTTTCGTTAATTGGTTTCAAAGTAATACGCTATATAATCAGAACTAGTCCTATCAAAACAAATATTCAACAAAACTTACAAAATGCGCAATTAAAGAATATCGAGAATAGCGTTTGTGTGATGACGGTGTGCACCTAAGGGCTTCATTTGGGATGGGGGGCGACAGTAAAGGTATAAAGCGAACGACTACCGTAAAATAACGTTATATTACAGATGATACTTCACGTGCCGGAATCAAGATCCAACAGCCCACTAGTATCTTTACGTTATCATTTCAATAGAGAAATGCATATCGAACGCTGTCCCGTTAATGGTTATACACGTCTAAGTAAAATAGATAACAACACGCGATTGAATCTAACCATTGACCGTTTCTTGGAGTTACTATTGCCATATGAAGCACGTAAGCCGTAAATCATATCAAAGATTAAAGTTGACAACAATTACCGGGCACTCAGGAACTAGACCTTGCAGTTTCATGAAGTGGCGTGATTTCTGTCTCTCGTGCTCCCCTGTGCAGAAACAACTGATGCTTGCATTTCTGTAGAGCGTACCTGCGATAAAGCTATTGACACTAGTTCGATCCGTTCGTTCTATCATTTCCTAGTCTCGTAACGATGACAACCTTCTTTTGTATCTGCTATTGTATACCAAATCAGTACCCTTTTTTTTTTTAAGTTGTTTTAAAGCGATTTCATCTGAGAGTAAGCAGTTTTAGTCTACTGAACTTGTGTTCGTTGTTTCCATTGTTCATTGTTTCGCTTGGTTTGGTATAACTTACTGCCAGAAATCTCTTTCTTTATTCTACGAAATTTTAATTCTCATTTTGCTTGAACTACAAAAAAATGACCTTGAGTTCGGACTTTAAGGATGGATATTTAAAATAAAAATAGAACCTAGTGACTTTTTATCAGCACTGAAAAAGCTGCGGGATATTTGTTTCGCATAGCAAGAAATCTCCGCAGTTTAGAGATATGACTAACGATATTCACCCTCAAAACCGCCTGAGGACAATCCTCGTCGAATGCGGGAAATCTAAACGGGTGCCTTCTCTAGGTAAAATATGCCTTTTATTAAGTTGGTAAGCTGGTTTAAGCGTTGAAGTCTCCGTTAGATACGCCATGTTTCTCTCGAATCCTTAAAGCAACCTTTTGACTTGACCTTAGACTAAGACGAATAGCAACAGCCAAAAAAGTATTAGTTCTTGCTGCCGGACTCATTCAGTAGATAACGCGTTATTTCTACTGCTCGTTCTAACGATAACTAACACAATTAGTTGAACTGGATTCAAATATTTTTCTATAGAAATACGACAAGATGCTGTTCGTAGTTAAATACTCCACAGAAAAAGTGAAGGAATGACTGAAAAAAAAATTGTCGCATTGCTTGTCCATATGTTATGGGCAAGCCACATGGCTATTTTTCATTCTCCTAAAACAATTATACCATTCTGGAGCAAAAGTGGCAGGTACATAGAAGAGAGTGTAGATCCTAGCGTTGGACGTGAATAGGCAAAGAATCAGCACAACTAAGGTAATTCCGAGGCTGGCGATCAGACCGACGAAAAACACGTACAGATAAGGGTTTGGATAGGACACAGATAGCGCCTGTTCCCCGTACACCGGCGACATTGGGATACCGTTTACATGGTAGGACATTTCTCATCCACGAACTAGCAACCATTGACAGACCCTTTCAATTAACTGTACACGGTTCACTTGGGTTCTTCTCCAGGGAATCTTTGCTCAAAACAAACTACTAGATGCGATCATTTCACCACTTCAACCATCAGTTATGAGGCGATTGTTTATTACATAACACGAAGTTAGTGGATCTGTAAGTAGCAATTAATTCTATTCCGCTGTACTCGTTCTCAGTGAAGTTGTTGCGATTTCATAATGAAGTTCATAAAAATGATATGTCATATTTTTACATAAGACGAATCGTTCTAACATAGTCACTTTAATTAACAGGTCCACTTATTTTAATGTATCACATGGAACCACATAATTACAAGACTTATCATTTACCCAACTAGCGAAATTACTAACTCCTTATTTTGTTACAACACCCATTCACATTCGAAGAGTCAATATCCAACAGTGATGCATGTGACCTATTCTCATAAAGTGTTCCGATACCCTTTTACATTTTTATGGTATTATTTTCCCTTGCAAGTTTGCTTCTGGCTGTGTGCACCGCTCCAACATGAGAAAGCACTGAATCACCGAAAATGGTCGCTCAAAATGGTCGTCTTGATGTTATTTGTCGCCGAGGTCAACGTCATTACATTTTGTCATCATCACCGTTGTAGGCAGAGTTTTCCTGTCTGGGAAAAGGAGAAGGTCTTGCCACGATACACGGCGAGTCAGTTTACCCCCAGCTGCTATCTCAGGCAGCTGCTCGATGGACAAATAGTGACTGCCACCGTTGAAC